GAAGTGGTTTGCCATTGCCTCCTTCCTAGGGCTGGGAGAGAGTGACTGGCTCAAGGTCCCCCAGCTGGCTTTGTGCCTAAGGTGGGACTAGAACTCACCGTCTCCCGGTTTCTAGCCTGATGCCTTAACCGCTACACCAAACTGGCTCTCTCTATTTACTACTATTATTATTTTAATTTCGGTGGGTAAGAAGGGCTACTGCCTTTTAAAATTATGGAACTGCCCATGAATCTCCACTAACTGGCATTCTGAGGAGAATCCCAGAAACACTCTTTTTAGCTGACCCAGAATGTGTACATTTTGGGTCCTGATCTATGAACCTGACAATGCTCCAGCATCAATCAGGAGGAGGCCTCCATTCTTCCAGGCATTTTTCTTGCTGACCCAGACCCAGTTTTGGCACCATGCTGACCCTGAGCAAGGAGCTGTCATCGCTGCTCACTCTCTAATGTGCTGCATTTTTGAAAAGGGGATTTGCATATATGTGGTTTCTCTATATTTTCTGGCTGTCCACCTAACAGATGCTTTGTGGAAAAACCTGCAGAAAACTCAGAATTATCTGGTGCCGGTTGGGAGAAGATGGGACCCAGCTAGGCATATTCATAAAGATTCTTCCCCTGGGAAGGTCATTACAGCGAAGCCAGACCCTAAGAACACAGGTCTTTCCAAATAATTGTAACAGCAGTTAAACTGCAGCGTTTGGGAAGACGCAGCACACCAGCCCTTTTCCAGCTGCTGCTTTTTTGCAACTGCTGCTCACAGATACACAGCCTCTGAACACTTCATATTTCAAATGGTCTTTGAAGGGAGGCCTGCGATAGCTAGGCGTACCTGAAGAAAGGAACAGGGGGTTCCTGTGGTTACGTCAAGAGTCACTCTGCCCAGAACAAGCTGCACCTTCCCCGATTTGCGGATCAGCAACTTCCCCACCTGCCCTTCTGAGAGGTCCCCCAGAGTGCAGGTGTTCTCTGCTTCCTTGGTCTCCTGGAAAAGCAGAGGGGGGACAGGTTTACAAGCTGGGGAGAAATCAAGATTAGAGCATTTAGAAGCTCCTTCTGCGCTCTCCCTTTTAATGTTTTCCAAAAAGTCATTACAGTCCTATTTTCTGTGGCTGGACAAAACCAAGATTAAGATAAAACAGGAAAGCTCAATTTTTCTTAAGAGTGTGCTTCCTGAGCTTCTGCTCATTACGGGGTTGCTGGGAACTCTGGGAAATCTTCTAGGTTCTACTGTCTCATCAAGCATTGCCATCACCTCTCCCAACATACCTTTCCGATCACAGGGCTAGACCATAGTTTTTTTAAAAAGAAGATATGCCAACATATCTTCCAGCTCTCCCACCGCCCCTCCTGCAGCCATCAGGAGAACAACGTGAGCTGCAGCATCATCCGCAGATTCCTGCTGCTCGTTCCAGCCGGAGCAGTACCTGACTCTTCTCCTGCTTTATCACCACCAACTGCCCATCCTCGTTCTGCACTTCCGTTTTGAGCGGCTTGGTGTCCTGTGTGGGCGGCTGCCCCGGGAGCGTGTCTGGCAGCTGCAGAAAGAGCAGCTCTTCCTCCTTGGAGAGGCTCAACCTTGGCAGCAGTTCTGCAAGGGAGACATCCTGAGGGAAGGGAGGAGGGGCTTTTGTGGGTGCTGGAGCCTGGGCAAATGGGGTCTCCTCTTCATCGTGGGGCTCCTCTTTCACTAAACGAGAGAGAGAGTCAGGGTCACTAGAGCTGCCCTCAAGCTACGCTGCAAGCTCAAGCCAACTGAGATTAGAAGTGGGGCATCTCAGCTTCTGCTTCCTGCCAGGGCTCTCTCCTTCCTTTATATACATACGAAGGGCTGCCTTTGTAACAAGCTGGGAGAAGGTATTAAGAGCTTGCGAGATCCACTAGGGCAGAAGTGGAAGACTATGCTGTAGGTGACTTGTATCACGAGTAGACAAAGCAAAGCAGGACTGTTCTTTGTCGCAGCAGCAACAACATGGCTGCTCCTTGCCTTGAGGAATTAGAACATGAGTCCAGCTGGCTCAGCGTCCTGTTTTCCACAGCAGCCACACACATGCTTCTGGGAGACCCATCAGCCAACGCCAAATGGCTACAGCCATATGCCATGGCTTATCCCTTTAGAACCCCCCCTCCCCGACCTCCACTCTCCTTGCAGGAAGCTAAGAGGGAGCAGGCTGCTCTTAGGCAGTTCAGGGCTGCAAGATGCCCACTTTATCTAGTGACTCAACTGCTCTAGGTCGACTTGAGCTGCCTACCTTTCACCGAAGATACACCTATTTCCATATCCTCCTCTTTATGGCCGGAGTTCAACAGCTTGACGTCCTCTTGATCATCCCCTTCTTCCTTGAAAAGCCAACCAGAATGAGCCAGAGGCAGCTGAACTGGCTTGTTCCTAATGTCATTTTTCAAGCCTGGGTCATCCAGGAACTGGGACCAAAGAACAAGAGAAAAAACTGCATGTTAAAGACAAGAACCATTCCTGGGGACTATTTCAGATGCTATTTCATGAGTCTGTCTTCTGGGCACTTACAATCTGCTTTTTTTTAGTGTTCCTACTTTTTTAATGTAAACTGTCCAGAGTTACCTGGAGTCGCTCAGCCTCTAGACTGAATGAACAAACCAACCAACCAACTAACCAATAACTAAATAGGGCTGAGGTAGTTTGCAGCTCTTACTTTGTTGAGGGAATAGCTCCTTTACTGCAAGCTACATATGCTGTTCCCAGCACAAAGGTTTGCAAAATCTCTCACTGTAAATGCAAAAAAAAAAAAAATGTTCTGAGTTTGGGACAGCTTTGTTTGAAACATTTCACCAAAAAGTTCAAAGCAGTTTATTTTGCAGTTAAAAATGAAACATTTCATGAAATGTTGTGCTCGAACTGTTGTGAGACTAAACGTTTTGCACATTCCTATCAGTTAATTTGTTGGGGGAATATCATGTTATGTAAACAAAGGAACTGTGTTTCGTTATCTTGTGTTTAGAGGTTAGCCTGTATTTCCTCAATGATTGGCAATGTATCAGTGTTCAGAGAAATGTTTCCATAGGTACAAACTTCCTAAACCTCCCCTTCATTCCTACAGCTGATATCACAAAGGGATAGGGAAGCAACTGTAGGCGAAAAGAAAATGAACAGGAAAAGATCATCCTGTGTTAAAAAGGTACCAGATTACAATGAATTGAAATATTTCTATTTTAAGGAACACATTCAATATATCACCCTCAACTCCAGCTAGCAACACGGCCCACCAATGTCTTAGAGAGTTGAGTCCTATGATGATAAAGTCCATGTTATTTTTTTGGTTTATGGATTGTTCTTCCAAATGTGGCCATCCTCAAACTCACATCATCTTTCTCCAACATGCGCAGGATCTTCTTCGTCTCTTCATCTGTCTCCCGCTTCTCTTTCTTTATGTTGATGATGTGGGATGGGCCAAAGTCAGACATATCCACAGACTTATCCCAGGTACCTGCAGAGAAAGCAAGAATTGCAGCACTGCAAGTTGCACAGCTCATCATGCAACTTTATGGTGGCTAGCCGAGAAGACCCTGGATGGCCAAGTTACCTGCCTGAATCGTTTCATTAAAATTAAGCCAAAAAGGCATGGCTAGAATCACCAGTAGGCACATCCATGTTCACACAAACAAGGGAAGAGAAGAAAAGGCAAGGAGAAAGAATATGGAAAAAGAGGATTCTGAAGAAGTGTGTGTTTAATTTATGATGAACGGAACAGATATATTTACGCGAGATGCTGGGGACAGGCTAACCCTTGTCCATGATAGCTGGCTTGACCAAGAGCTTCTTGAGCAGAGGAGTATCGCCCCTTCACCCAAGAATGAATTAAGTACTGCTCCTACCCCAGCCTCCTGTTACCTTCTGGCAGCTTTCATCAACCAGAAAGATAGGAATCCAATCTATAGGTGCCAGAGGTGATGTCATAGAGAACCTTGTCCACTTCCTCAGGATCAAGGGGCTCGAACCACTCCCGAGTACCCCCACTGAACACTGCCATCTCTGAGGGACTTTCCCAGCCAAGCTTCAGCTCTGATGCTGGGGACTTCTACACCAATACTCAAGATGCACAAAGTATTTTGTCGCAGCTTACTTAAAAGCTCTCTATCAGATAAAGCATATTCCAATTTTACTAAATTACCCTATCCTACTTTATTAATCCACTGTGATCCAGCCTGTGAAAAGGCTGAAGCTGGTGAGGTGGGAATCAGTGGGGCTAAGATTCTCGAGGAAAGCCTGACAGCCTGATGAGTTCACAGTGATTTGAAATTACAGGTCAAAGCCCAAATGCTAGCCACCGGACCGCCCCAACGTAACATTCACAAAACCTTTCTTCCGCATCATTTCTGCCGGGCCTTGCTCAAAGATGGAGTGCGACTGAATGACTTCTGGCCTCGCTCTGCCTCGTCCATGAGATTCCCTCTGCCGATCTCGATCACGGTCCTTCTTCTCTTTCTTGACAGAAAGGTCCTCTTTGGGCCTAAAGAAAAGGAGAACAAGTGGAATCAATTGCTCAATGAGAGTGATAGGCCTCTGCCTTTAGGACTTAAAGGTTCCAATATATCCAAACATTTCCTAAGCCCTTTTGCATCACTAGCTTCCTAAGGACTCCATGACTGAACCTCTTACAAACATGCAGAAAGAGCAAATGTCAAAGCCTCCCTCAACAGAATTTCATACTGAAGATGAAGGTTGTGATGAAAAGGTAGTTCCTATGTATTCTGCTATTAAGGAGGGGGACAGAGAGTGGAGAGAAAATTGTTGGGATCAGGTAGCTGATTAACTGCAGGAGGTACCTGACAGCTGACCAAAAAAAAAAAGAGGAAAAGAAAAGGAAAAATAAACAATCTATATAAATGAAAAGATAAACAAAACAGATCTTGCGAAAAAGGAGACTGGCATTCTAGAAGTCTGTATCTTCCCACAAAATCAACATACAGCTTTAATTGTTTATAAATTAAACCTGGGCAAATGAAAGGCACACTATAATACCCCCCTATCCATGCATAAAAAAACAATTATATTATCCAAAGAGAGCTGATAAGACAGGAGATAACCACAGTGTAAGAACGTTGAGTGTGAGATTTTAAACTATATTTGTCCCAAATAATAACTTAGAAAAATTTTGACCAAATAAACCCAGCTTCACCACAAAGCAAAACTATACGTTTGATTAACAGCCCAAATAACGTTAAAATTTAGAATCTCAGAAGGTAGCACACGGGAAGTCTTTAGCGTAGCTGAGATCTTTAACAAACCCTATGAACTTGCATAGGAGGTTCATAGGATAACTTCAGGTTAAGGCTGATATCCCACATTAGACACATCTTCTCAGCTCTTTATTGACCACTTCATTAAGCAGTTCATTCACATTAATACACTCCATGAAAACAGCATTGAAAGGGAACTTACTCTTCTTTGATTTTCCTGCTGATTATGTTAGGGGCAAAGGTTTTCTAAAAAACAAGAGACATAGAGAACAAACATGGATTAGGCACAATGTTTGGTGTATGATATTCCTCATAGCACAGAGTGCATTAAAATTAAAACTCCAATAGTTATTTATTTGATTTAGATAGCTACCCATCTCACTCTGACGTGACTCCAGCTAGCTTACAATAAAATAAATAAATATACTTGGGATTCTCACATTTCTGTGGGACGAGAATATTTTTAGTTGTATTGCTGGGAGGAAGATGTGTCTTTTATAATATGTCACTATTTAAGGGCCACAACTTTTGTGCTCTGCATCACTACTAAACTCTTTTGGCTTCAAGTTATGCTTTTAGTTCAACCATCATTGACACATTCTCTTTGTTCTCTTTCCAAAACAAACACCAACATCTCCTAATATTTGAATACTAGCATCAGAAGACATCAAGTAAAACTGACTACTTCATATAATAAAAATGCAGTGTTTACATATAGGATCAAATATCCCTGACATAGAGAGCCACTCTATGCCTCCAGACAGCTTGGTTATTGCATAACCAATTCAAAGAAACAAATGGAACATTTTGAATCCTGAGACTCTTAGCCTGTTTCTTCTTTTTAGAAGTTCATAGGCATCACTGCTACCAAACCGGCCTCAAGCGTGGGATCAATGTTTAATGAAATAAATCTCCAAAGTCAGCAATTTCTCATCTGCCATGATTGTTAGTATTCCTCATAGCTCTTTGCTCCTCCACCTCAATAATGATCAAAAGTGGGACAGGTTTTACCAACTAGAGCAATCTGTGAACATGCAGATAAACATCTGTGCCAAATATATAGAAATAAAGAGATCCTGCTTTTCTTGAAAAGAAGTTGCCTCATCTTGTAATTAAAAGTCAGTATGCTTAGCCCTACTGTTCTAGTTTTTACTGAATGGAGATTTGGTGACAAACTCTGTCTGAGTTAAATCACTCATTTATCAACTCTTCAGTCACACGAGGTCTGGAGCAAGAAACTAGACTGTCTGTCTCAACTGATTTCACCCTGTGCAGAAGAACCAAAACATCGGAAGACTTCCATATAGTCAGTATTTCCTCTGTACTGGGGACAAAACATGGGTAAACAGTAAGAGCAAAACTGGAGGAAATGGAACTGTTTTCAACAGAAACAAGCCTAGAAAATATAGAAAACACAGAGGCTCCTATTTGGGAGAAGATTTTAGTGCACAAGACCTTTCTTTTAAAGTTCTGGAAAAAACAGCAATACATTGTTTACCACTTTGAAAGAAAAACCCATGAAAATTATAATGCAGTCTTCAAGTTTGCAATGGTTAGATAAAAGAAGGATCCCAAAATTCTACCTCCAACCTGGGAAGGGAAGGGGGGGGGGAGAAACCTTGGTTTGTTTACCTGTGTGATTGAGCCCTACTTTTCAACACTGTTCCACCCACTGCATCCCTTAATCTCCCAATCAATGTTCCACGTGGCTCCCACAATTGCCACCCCTCCCCTGATCCTATACAATTTCTAAGGAGGCCTAATAGTCATGCTGCCCTTCACACTTAAAAGTTTATCTGGATGATATTTAAAAAAACCCTGAATTGTTCTAGCTGCCATTTCTTGGCACTCCTCTTTATTCTCTGTATTCATATCAAAAGAAGGGTGGAAAAAAATCTCAAATGTTCTGGTATCTAGCAAATTGATTCCAGTATTTAACAAATAATTCTTTCCAAAAATAAATTATTAGCATGTGCAATTTCTTCACAGCTTCTTGCCAGATAGCCCAGTTGCAGACTCTAACTACCCTTCCAAATGTTCCTATTATTAATATTTTAGTTAACATTTCATAACACTTTCATCTGGAAACAATCATTACTTCTGTTTTTGTTAATATGTCTGCTATTAATTTTCGATCAGCCCATTGAACTAAATCTGCCAGATTACCCAAAGGGATGATCTTAGAGTCTTCTGGAAGTGTCCTTCCAAAAATCAACATGGACTATTTTTATTTTTGTGTTGGTGGTTTTAATCTCTGACTTTTCACATAATCTTTCTCTTGTGGAAGATTCCAAAGGCAAGTTCTAGAGCAGTGTTTCTCAACCTTGGCCACTTTAAGATGTGTGGACTTCAACTCCCAG